TTATTGGCTGGTCATCTTCTTTGGTCTCCTTTTCTTCATCGATAGCATCATATTCTTCTTTGTCACTATTTACGATGCTAGTTACAACGTCAAAGTTAATCTTGACAAAGTCAATATTTCCCTATATATACAGCAAGGAGCACTGACGATGATTCATTCGGAATCGAAATATGGCCTTATTTGCCGCATGAATTCGAAAAATAAGTTTATTTTGTATTTTAATAAACTAAACGTTCACCAAAAAACTTTAGTGAGAAAAATCGAAAAAACGAACTACAAACATATTAACGCCAAACATTCAGTAGAATTTATAGAATATTGTAAAAATTATGGTCTATTACCAACATATATATATATATATATATATATTGAATTAACTTTACTGGTATTCAGTGGCGGATCTAGACAATTTCGACCGGGTGGGCCACGATTCTCAAAAATTTTTGGCGACTTTGAGACTAGGAGGAGAAATTTTCTACTAAAAGTTGATAACCTGGGGAGCATAAGTTATCAAAATAAAGTTGATGACCAGGGAGAAGTTGATGACGGAGCCCAGTCATCAATTTTTCTATTGCACATTTTTGTACCGAATTTTTCAATGTTCACCGTTCACCGTGAGGGGGTAACTTTTTGACGGGGGGTAAACTTTTTCTGATAATGTGGTCAAAATGTCACTTATCAACTTTTTTGGCATCTATATTATCCATTTTTCTTTCAAAAATATTACTTTTTGCGTTCAAAGAAAGACAACGGGAGGATCACTAGCCTCCCCGCTCATCTCCTCCCCCCTCCTTCTAGATCCGTCACTGCTGATGTTATAAAAGCACACAATTTATGTACAGTGCTGCTCAAAATGATGGGAACGGTCGATTTTTTCAATTTCTTTCAAAACCATTGATTCAAATTAAATGAAATTTTTATGGTTATTTTCATAAATTAAACATGAAAATTTTCATATACAAAATTGTTCTTTAAGTTTATTTATTTAGATTAATAAAAATTTATAAATTTTGCTATGGTTCAAAATGATTGAAACGTTTTTATTTTCAAGTTTTAATCAGCAAATCTATTTTCATATGCACATTAGAATGACTATTGTTGTTTGGTTCACATTGTTCAAATGTTAATAGGAATAGGCCATGAAAATTTTATTTTATGTGGCCAAATAGTATTTAAGAAAAGTGTAAAAAACGATTGTTCATATCATTTTGAGCCACACTGTACCTAACCATGATATGAAATGACCAAATTAATTAAAAAATAAATGCAGACAAACCAAGAAATAGTTCCAAAAATTTAAAACTAATTTCAACTACAAAAAGTTATTGTACGGCAATAAAATAGAACATTATGAAAAAGTACAAATACATAGCCTGATGCTACTACATAGATATATACTTTAACGATCAGAAAATAATTAAAATACGTTTCAATAATAATTGCTCTTATAAAAGGACCAGTTAGTGTCAGCCGTAAGTGAAGCATACCCATTGATGTGAGCATTCATTTGACATAATTTGGAGGCTGGATGGATGTTGATGGAGTCACATCCACCCAGTTGCTTGCATTTATGCATGCAGTCCAATGTACTTCTTACGTACAGCTGCCTGAACTGGAATCCCTTCAATGTCATATTTGCTTGTTTCTTCCAGGCGAAGGAATCTAAAACAAGTTGATGATTTTCAAACAAATCCTAATGATCTGTTGACAAAATAATAACAAAATAGATAAAAAAGCACATCCCTTCCTGACAACAATTAATTAATTTTATTTAATCGCCAGAATGAAACTTAAATTTAAAAATCTCCGTCGTATCTTCAATTTAAAATTGCAAAAATTTGTAACTTTAAAAGCAGGGTGTCGGAGTCGGATAAAAATTTGTCTGACTTCGGGTTCTGACACCCTGAAAAAATTTTAAACTTTTGTTTCATATTATATATAATGTAACTTCAATACAGCTACTTAATAAAAGATGCTTAAAAAAAACAATTGTGAGGATAAAAATTTAAGAAAAATATAAAAACTTTAAATAATTTAATAAAATAAAAAAATTCAAACTGTTGAATGAGTGAGTATAACATACCAAGCGAGGTCCCACTAGGACACAGATGGTAATTTTTGATGATCAAGTGTTAACTGTAATAGCTCTAATTTTTTTTTTCAATTTTTGTATGTCTCCCATATTATCATAGATTAATTAATGTAAAATTATAATTACAAAGTTCTGTTTCAAACAAAATTCAAAAACTGAAAAAGCGCTTGGGATACAGGAAGGACCCCGCTTGGTATTATATGTTATAAAATTCAATTATCGTAATTTTTGGATGATTCGGTATCCAACGAAAATCATAAAAATTCAAACATGATACTGGAATACAATCGTACCAAAGGCTGGGTGTAAATGCAGACAAATTGATACGGGAGTATTCTTGTGCTAGACGTACCTCAAGATGGCCTCTGAGACTTTTCGTGAACATGCTTGATATTGGACCTTTATAATTTAGATTTCAAAAAACAAAGACACGAAATAATTTAAAAAAAATTCTAGGTATTTGTTCCTTATGGAGTTGGGCAAAGAACTAACAAAGCCCAACATTTTACGAAGAGCAAGCAATCCAATTGGTATTCAAGTTTCAATTGTTCGAGCAATTGAGGCAGTCGGAGTAACTGTTGCGCGTATCAACGCAAACCAAAGGATACCATCAACATCAGGAATTCAGAAAAGCCGAAAGAGAGGTAGATGTTATTTTTGTCCTAGAAGTAGTGATAAAAAAAGTGTACACAGTCTGTAGTAAATACCAGCAATTTGTCTGTGAGGCACACAGGCAAAGCGTCACAACTATCACATGTGTAAAGAACTGTAGCACATGATCTGTATGTATCTTTTTATTAAATTATTATACTAATGGTTTACAAAACACTATAAATTTTGTTTACAGACATATATTTTTTTGCCTTCCAGAAGTTGAGACTGTCATAATTTTTTTGCTTTAATAACTGTATAACGATAATAATGACAATGGTTTTAGATAAAAATTTTGATTTTTACATTGAAAATGAAACAAAATCTATGATAATATCAGACTTTACAATTTATTTAGACAAAAAATAAGGGGGTCCTTAGAGAACCCCAGTTTTGTAAACTACGTTTACTTACGACCTCGGTATATTAAGGGTTAAGTTTAGTGAAAGACTAGAAATACACTATAAAACAATGAAACATTAGCCTAGTTATGGGTTCGAAACCTAACCACAAATTAAGAAATTAAGCTAGCCACAATTGCAAATGTTTATTTAGACTAAAAAAAAATGTTTTTCAAATTATCTTGAAATCTCTTCATGTTTAGGGCGTTAATTTAGAAAATTATATATATATAAATGGTTTTATCGATAAAGTTACAGGACGGTTAACACCACGCCGGCTAGTAAACGGCGCTCCATTGTCTTAAAATGAGAATGCTTGCACGGCGCCATTGATAGCATCTATTTTCAGTATTAAATGTTATTGAGTACATACCAAATCTTTCAAAAATACGTATCAGAAAATTAATCTCGAAATAAACATTCTAAAATATTCCCAGTTTCAAATCCCAAAAATTCCAATTCCGACTCTTTCTCTCTCCGATACTCCGTTAACAAGTTTCGTCATAAAATTGATTTTAACATTTTCTGTATAAATACATTTAGGTATTCTAGATCATATTATCAAGTTGGTTGTTTTAAATGGATGTGAGTGAGTGAGAAATATTAAACATTGAGCGTAAGTGCGGGAGAAAATGAAGTAATTTATTCAAATGTATTCTAGTGGATTTTGAATCTATTGAAGAGGAGGATATAGACCATAGAGAGTAAGCAAAACAAGTTACAGTTGGCTAAGTCCAAATGGGAGTGTTAGGAAAAAAATCAATCGAAGTTCCTATTTCAATACTTTGCAGTCATAATACGCTTCAAAATTTATAGCTTTCATCACATTATTTAGTCAAATTTTAGACAACAGAAAATTGGAAAATAAAATAAATACTCGCGTCAGTGGGCTCGTAGGCTTCTAGCTCGCAAATCATGAATTTCCCGCTTGCAGTGGGACTTGCTTGCGCAATCAGGTATCTGTATTTGGGCAGATTGGCATTGCATTTCATTTCCACTCTGCTCCCGACTTTGACATAACCTGGCCAGGTAGCACACGATGGATAATTATTCCTCACTGGTGTTGAGGTAACGTTTGTCAGTCCAATGGTGAAGTTGTCCGAAAGGCGAGCTAAGAAGTCCATATTGGTCGGTGGATCTGCCAAATTAAATTTTTATTTTGCTAAATTTTTATAAGCCATATTGTTGTATGAAAAAATTTAACCTTCCCAACGTCTGGACGTGAAAGCAATGTAGTCAACGTTGTAACCAGTCTTCATGTCAAATTTAAACCAATTTGGTTTTCCATATGTGTCTGCTGTGATGCCGCAGTGGCAGTTACTAAAATAGGGATCGTGAAATCCATCCACCACCAATGCAGCAGTCAGATTTCCACAACCAACAGTTAGATATGAACTGCTCGTGCTTGGACTCTTCAGTAGCAGGTTGGTTTTGAATTCTTCAAAAATTATAAATAGAGGTAAAAATTTAATGTCTAAACATCTGTTAATATTATATTTCATACTTCCATAGGGAACTCCATAGACTTCAAATTCGCAAACAGACATGTATCCAGTAGAGTTGGAAGGTTGTAGCAGTATGACGTATCTGGCTGGAGGTGTAGTAGAAGAGCAATTCAATCGAACCACCTGTTTCGAAGCAACTACATCTGGGTATTGAGCACAGAGATCCAATGTGCCTCTCACTGGCGGGTGAACATCCAGAGACCTGTTACTCACTCCCACTATGAAGTAGTCCAGATCGTTTCTTTTTGGAAAACCGGCATGATCTTTAAAAAATTAGTTTTATTCAACTTAATTAAAGCATTTCAAGATAAACATTTCATCGTTATTTTTGTTGAAATACGTAATATAAAACAATCTTTTTTTAATTTTGATTATTTCAACAACATTTTGTGAAACTTTAATTTATGCAGTTTTATTCAATATAAATTTTTGTTTAATCATAAGTTTGCATCAAAATTAAATTACTTGTCCCAGCATAAAGGATAGTGTAGAATATTGTGAACAAATTCTTTAGATCCACGCCGATCCAATGGGGATCGAACCCTGGCACGGTGAGAGAACAAAATGCTAAACTGTCATTCATGAACTTCTTGCCATCAACAGCGTAATATGAATCATAATAAAAATAATAATTTGGGTTGGAAGCAGAGCTTGTTGACGTAAAATGTCCCCAGTCTATTGTTCGTTAAATATCTTGGGCAATCAAAAATAAAACAATATCCCCTCAGAAAATAAACCAAAATAAACACAGATTAATATTGTTACCGTTATTGTTGTTGTTGTAGTTGTTGTTGTTTTTAATGTTATGTTGCTTGTGTTGTTGTTAATGTTATTAAAGGGGATATTATGATAATGTCATATGATTAAATACTACAATTTTTATGACGATGATGAAAATTTGTCACTTATAACTTATAAATGAGTGCATTATTAAAGTAATTCTTTTAGCTAACCTATAACTTCGAATAAAATCGTTATAAGAGTTATCATTGTTGGACTTTTAAAATGCTTCGCAGTCATGATTTGTCTTGTCAAATCTGTGAATTATCTAGAAAAGTGAAAAATTTAGTTACACGTTATAGATTATCCAATTAGATTCTATTTGCGAATTTTTAATAAATACTCAATTAAAAAATCAAGGATCAAGTATATATATAGTATATATAGATTTGTTCATACCGTTTTTTACATTTTTTATTAATTTGTGTTTTGACAAATTTCCTGGTTTTATCAATTTGTGTTTTGACAAATTTCTGGTTATTTTCCTAAGGCGTTAAAACATGCCGTTGTGACACCCTTATTAAAAAAGTCATCTCTTGATAAGGATGATATTGATATTGCAAATTATCGCCCGATTTTAAACGTCTTGTTTTTACCAACAGTCGTTGAACGTTTAGTTCTAAAACAATTTTTAAATCATTTGAATGTGAATGGTTTAATTCCAATCCATCAGTCTGGTTACAGGTTACAGGCAGTATCACTCTACTGAAACTGCACTGATCGATATTTTTTCTGAATTGTTTGCATCTATGGATTCACAAAATGTTTCAATTTTTGCTTTATTGGATATGAGCGCTGCGTTTGACTGCGTCGAACAATCACTCCTTGTTCATAAACTTAAATATAGTTTTGGTGTGGTTGCTTCATGGTTCGAATCCTATTTGATTGGTAGGACGCAACAGGTTTGTTTCAATAATTATCTGTTCAATGTCGAAGTTGTTATTTCAGGTGTGCCCCAAGGTTCTGTTTTATGACTTCATTTGCTTATATTGTACACGGCCGATGTTTTTCATATTATTGGAAAATATGGTTTCAGAAACCATGCCTTTGCGGACGATTTGCAAATAATTGGTTGCGGTAACACAGACCCGGGTTTTGATGCGATGGTTGATAGATTTTTATGTTGTTTTAGTGAATTAAGTGAATGGATGGTAAATAATGAACTAAAACTGAACGAAAACAAAGCACGAATTCTGCCTGTCGGTACTCGGCAGCAATTAAAAAAGATTAATATTAACTCCATCAACATCGGTGGTTCTAATGTTGAGTTCTGCACTTCTGTTAAAAATCTGGGCGTTGCATTTGATACTGCAATGTCAATGGATCAACATACAAAGTCATCGGTTAAAGATTGTTGCTATCAACTTCGTAAACTCAGGCAAGTAAAAAAAATCAGTCAATAACTACACTTTGAAATGATTGGTTCGCGCATTCATTCATTCAAAATTGGATTACTGCAACAGCATTTTTTACGGAGTTTCAAATCAATTGATTAATCGTTTTCAGTCAATTCAAAATCGTGCTGCTAAGATTATTTCCGGAGGGTTAAAATACGACCATGTCAGTAATACTCTACAAGATCTTTATTGGCTCACAATAAAAAAAAGAATCATCTTCAAGCTTGCCGTTATGGTTTTCAAATGTTTAAATGGTTTAATGATGATGCTTTGAGCAATTCCGTTGTTTTTATTGTACACGGCCGATGTTTTTCCTATTATTGAAAAATATGGTTTTAGGTGTGATATATATATATATATATATATATATATATATATATATATATATATATATATACATATATATCAAATCAAATCAAATAAAATATTGTATTTATATAGCGCCAATTATAATTGCTTCTAATCAGCGCTCTCCTCGTATGAAGCATGTTGAAAGCGAAGCCATCATCGGTTGAGATCACCAGGAGTTACCAAATAGGTATGTCTTTAGACGTTTTCTAAACCCATAATAACCATGATAACCCAGATATACGTAGTTCGATAGGTAGGCTGTTCCAAAAAATAGGCCCAGCAACTGCAAAATCTCTATCTGCTGTTTTCAGATTCCGATCTCTAACATACAGCGTGTTTGAATCAGCAGACCTTAGACACCCATGTGATGACATAGGTGAAACTCGATATAAATATATGATACAATTTTTTAATTAATAAATATTTAATGAAATAAAACCAAAATAAATAATTATTAAATTCCTCTTATTTTGAAAAGCCTGGTCTAGTATCAATAAATTAGTAAATTATAAAAGAAAATTTTTAAAGCGGCCACTATTTATTGCTGATAAAAATAATTATAAAACGAATTAAAATTATTAACTAACTTGTTTAAATTTGATGAGTAAAAAATTTGTTCGAAATCGGCAAAGATCGTTACAGCAAAATTTCAAAATAACGAGTGACCTCGAGAATGTTGTAATGCGTAATAAGATTGTTTCCATTTGTCGTCATGATGCATTGAGAATTATTTGGATGGCATGTTCTCAAACTATTTGTCATGTTTTTAAACCATTCTTTGTCGGCAATCATAGGTAAAATAATATTATTTTTTTGATTTTTTTCATGTGTTAATTGAAAAGTTTCGGGCTTATAACATGATTTTGGCACGCAAGCACTGTTCTTTATCATTATTTCCTAATATATTCAACTTTACATTTCTTTTATAGTAATTATTGATTGTTCTGCCGGCAAGCTGTTGAATGCAAATGTTATTATCTTCTAACATGAAACCAATTAGGTATGCATCACAAAAGTGCGCAATAACTCCTTTAGGTTTGTTCAAATCATTTCTGCAAATATTTTTCAATTCACTATTGTGGATTGTTTCCAAACCCGACCAAAAATAATGATGAATCCTAATCATCAATGCGAATGTTCTGTTGAAAAACGCTATTGCAAGTTACAATTAACAATCTATTAACAAATAAAAAAACTATTGCGTCTGAGAATAATGTCTGTGAAGCAAACACTTATTTCTAACTCAAAGAATGGAAAATAACAATTTTGTGACGCATTTAATATTTTATGCAATTTTCATCTTCATGTCTTTGACCTTGTCTGCTCCGTCACGCCATCTTGTAATGTAACTTTACATTGTGGTGATTTTTCAAAATTAATTATGTTACTAAACTAAGTTTTCTACAGCGCGCTCTCAAGTAACCACTCCCGGGCACTCTCATCTCAACAAACAACTAGAATAATTCTTTTCTAAATAAATAAAAATTTATTCTCATTTAATTTTAACAAGTCGGAATCAAAATATTTTTTTGAGTTAATCTAGGAGTAGGAATCGGACATAATTTTCCACCCTGAATATTTATATATATATATATATATATATAAAAGAAACTTTTTTCTTCCTTATCATGCGGCTCTGTCAAACTAAGAACTGCTTACAAATCATTCTATACTAATAATTAAACTTTTTTGCCATCAGACTGTACACTATCCACGCCAGACGATGCCCAGACACATTATGGATGCACGCGCAAGCACCATACATACGCGTATGGTGGTCTTTGTTTGGACAGAGGCAATATTCGAACCAAGCCATTTTTATAACAGAGTGAAACACGGCACTTTATTAAAAACTAATTATTTTCTTCCTGAAAGCTACGAGAAACAGCTTTACATTGTGCAAATGAAACGCGAAAATGTTTAAAAAACAGTTTGATAAAAATATCAATGTTCAAATAAAATTTGCAATAAGTGTCCCATAAAATTACGGACTCTAGATATTTGTCTCAATTGTTTTCTTTTTCTCAATTGTTTCATTTGTCTTAATTGTCTCTCATTAGTCTTAATTGTCTCTCATTAGTCTTAATTGTCTCAAATGTATGCTGATTGGTCAGGCCCTAATCTGGCAAGAAGTAACAATGACCATTCTTTTAATTTATTGAAAATGTTGTCCAAACATCTATCGATGAAACAGCTGAAATGTAAATTGTAAAAAACCTAATGATGGGAAATAGGAATGATGATATCTCGATCGACATCAATAAAATTTGAAAATCCAGTTTAATCAAAAGGAATGTTTTACAATTGATCATTCTGCTGCTCGTCTAGTTGCTCGAGCCCCTTTCTTTTCTCATATATCTCCATATCTTGTTCTCCTGCACTGGCTTCCTATAAAATATAGAATAATTTTTAAAATTCGCATATTTATGTATGAGTCTCAATCTAAATTATTTCCTAAGTACTTATCAGATATAAAAAATTGAACCTAAACGTCCCGGTTTACGATTGTCTTCTTGTTCTCGCTTCTTCTTAACTCGTGTTAAACACTTTTTTGCTAAATCTGCTTTTGCTTTTTCTGGTCCTTTTCTCTGAAGTTCAGAGCGGATCTCAAGACCCATCTGTTTTCAAAATTCATTGAGGAGCGCTGTTGAACATCGCGGAAATAGCGCTTTATAAGCTAATTGATTGATTGATTTATTGATTGATTGATTCTTTGATATGTATGTATGTATGTATGTATGTATGTATGTATGTATGTATGTATGTATGTATGTATGTATGTATGTATGTATGTATGTATGTATGTATGTATGTATGTATGTATGTATGTATGTATGTATGTATGTTTGTATCTTTGTATGTATGTATGTATGTATGTATGTATGTATCTATGTATGTATGTATGTATGTATGTATGTATGTATGTATGTATGTATGTATGTATGTATGTATGTATGTGTATCTTTGTGTTATGGTTCTCTCTTAGGCACTCATGTATTCAGTTTGTATTAGCAATGACGACACAGACAGAGCGCGTGAGAATGGCTAAATTAAAACATTATAAACTTTGTGTATGACTCTTGAGGACTTCCTTCGTTTTGAATCCGACTGCAGCAGTGAATGATTTGGGGTTAATCCATTAGCCATCTCGACCAAACATAGTTTTGTATGAGATACGTGTTTGTGTGAGAGTATTGTGATAACATAAACGTCAGTGTGCGGTGTGGGTGTATGAATGTAGTGTGCGAATGCGTCGTGTGTGTGTGTATGTTTGTGTGAGTGTGGTATGTTTAGAGTGGAGTAATATGGGAGGATATTGATTGATGTGCAGCAGCGGCAGATCACGGACATTGATGCAGTCCAGATGTCACAGATTATTAGATTCTGCCCGCCCATTTCTCAATCATTCTCTTCATATCTGCCATCTTCAAATACTCTCTTTTACGCGCTGTAATCGCTTCTATATATATATATATATATATATATATATATATATATATCACAGCATATTCGGCGTTAATGTTATATTTAACGAAGTTGAAAATTGTAAAACAAATTAAATGAGCATTATGTATTACCTTTAAACAAACAAGGAATTAATAAAAGTAGAGCAGAGGCACAGATATTTGACCATCTGGGCACATACACAACATATCAATTTAAACACCAAAGATGGTATAGGAATACCGATAAAAAGTTTTTGATCCTATCATGCATAAAATAAACAAAAATTTTGATTTTGAACTAAAAAAAACTTGAAAATGATTTACCATCAACCGTTAGAAAAATCGAAAAGTTAAATTTGAAGTTAACCGGTCTTAATCCAATAAATATACATATACACATTCACGTTTTTATATGATTTAAAGTGTTTTATGTACTTATTTATTTATATATTTACTTATTAATTAAATTAATTATTTATTTATTCATCCATTAATTTATAATTTATTCAATTATATATTGCTTTTTTTTATTTTAACCATTCAGTATTTATATTTAAAAATCTGTATTTAATATATATTTATATTTTATATAAATATATATATATATATATATATACATACATACATACATACATACATACATACATACATACATACATACATACATACATGGGGGAGTTAGACCTATTGTGGTCGGTAACTTTTGGAGAAGGTTGGCCAGCAAATGTGCTCTGATCTTGGTGTTGGAAGAAACCAAGGCGAAACTTTACCCAATTCAACTGGGCGTTGGGGTGAAAGGAGGAGCAGAGGCGGCCGTACATGCGGCCCGTAAATTGGTTCTGGACTTACCCGATAAATGGGGTTTTTTAAAAATTGACTTCAGGAATGCCTTTAATACCCTGAGGAGAGATTCGATGCTGGAGGCAGTCAAACGGCCCTGTCCCCAAATTTACAATTACTGCCACTCCGCATATGGCCGAATCTCTTCTCTTGGTTATAACACCTGGGTGATGGAATCGTCCGAGGGGGTGCAACAGGGTGACCCTTTGGGGCCGATGTTGTTTGCTCTGACCCTACACCCGGTGTTGGAAAAATCTCTTTCAAAATTCGTTTGCGGCTACCTGGACGATATCAGTTTGGCCGCCGAGGGTGCAATTTTAGCTACTGATTTCCTGTCTTTAAAAGACAATGCCTCCATCATTGGGCTTGAGCTTAATATTAAAAAATGCGAATTGTACGCAAACGACTCTTTTGAAATGCCACAGACACTGGCGGAAGTGCCCTTAGTGTCTGAGGCATCATTGAGCTTCTTGGGCACCCCATTGATGGAGGGTGAGTTTCAAAACACTTTTTTTAATAAAAAACTCGCAGAGCTGAAATTCGCCCTCGACCGAGTGTCTCATCTTCCGGTCCACGACGCGCTGACCATCGTCCGCAACGCCCTTAGTTTGCCTAGATTGATGTACTTCCTTCGTACATCCTTCTCG